GGCATCCCCCGAGACCATCCGAGTCTCAACACCATCTAAACCCTGCCCCGACCTCGAAACCCTCAGACGTTTCGGAGCCAGAAGCAGGGGGGTGGGGGGGACCAGACTGAACCAAAACAGGGGAAGGACGAGGGGGGGGGGGCTGAACCAAAGTCGAAGCGACCAACACCCCCAAACCGGGTCCCTATACCCAAAACGGGGCAACCTTGGGGCTTTCGGGTCAGCAACCAACCTAGCGCGATGCAACAATCTAAACCTATCATGCAATGCCTGCGCCGTCTGTACCTGAATAACGTCATCAATAGACTGGGTAAACAGAGCCACCAGCAAGCAACATGCTCATTTGCTCGTTTTTGTTTGGGGAGTTCTGTTTACTAGTTCGGCTCTCAGTAGCAATTTCTTAACCAGAATAGGGGTTTATTTTGGGATGCTTACCTTTCTGGGTGCCTGACCCGATCAATGGCAGATATAGAATGCTTCCAAACACACTGGGGGTTTCTATAGGCCATTGCTCCTCGTGCCTCTCTGAGGGGGCAAACCACAAGCAAGGTTCTGGCTTGTGGTCCCCAGTAGGCTCAAGAACTCCATTCACACTGATGCCAAAAGTAATATTAGCATATCAGCCTGGATAGCTCCAGGAAGCCTCCGGGGCTCCCCCAGAAATGCCCCTAAATACAACTATGTAAGCACAACCCTGGAGCTGAGCACTGGACCACACACATCCAACTGAGTAGAGTCCTAGCACCCATAATAAATTACTTCCTACTACATCATCACCTTCAACTGGTCTTGCTTGATGACCATGCCCCATGACATCACCCGAGATATGAAAGGACTTGAGAGACTCAATCACAGTCAACAATTGTGTGTCTCCTGCTTGATGCCTGCTTGATGGGGTTCTGGGAGTTCTTCTACTCCCCAAACTGCTACTTGATTTGTGAGTTTGGTTCACCAGGCTGTTGCTTGGAGCGGCCCGCAGACCCATATACCCATCACAGCCCGGTTGGTGTGGCACTCCTTGAAGAAAACAATCTCGTTTTCTCTTGATGTCCACGGTTGTTCCGGCAATATTTCTGATGCTTGCTGGTAGGACGTTGAACAACCGTGGACCTCTGATGTTTGTACAGTGTTCTCTGATTGTGCCTATGACACCTCTGCTCTTCACTGGTTCTATTCTGCATTTTCTTCCATATCGTTCACTCCAGTACGTTATTTTACTGTGCAGATTAGGGACCTGTCCCTCCAGTACAGTATTTTCCATGTGTATATTATTTGGTATCTCTCTCATCTCCTTTCTAGTGAGTACATTTAGAGAGCTTTGAGACGATCCCAATAATTTAGGTGCTTTATCTCGTCTATGCGTTCCGTATATGTTCTCTGTATTCCCTCTATTTCAGCAATCTCTCCTGCTCTGAAGGGGGATGTGAGTACTGTCTCCACTCGATCATCCGGACTATATGGGAAGGACCCCCAGCCGGATTATCACATTTTTCGGATAATGGTACTTTTTCACCTACGAGTCCAAAAGTGACCATTTCCAACTATTTTTATACTACAAACAACATAATTTGAATTGCCTTGCCACATACAATTATTAAATATTCAACTAGAAACCTCAACTTACCTTGTTGGTGTTCTTCTTCTTGATTGATGCCACACATCTTGAAGTTAAAAATTCTTAACAATTTACGTAACCTATACTAACACAACACTAAAATTAACACTTAAAATTACTGTACAGTTCATTAAGCAAAGTTAGTTTTGACTGCCAGCTGCTTAAGCCTCACTGGTTGAGGGCATTTGGGTTGCCTGTGAGGCCTCACTTGTTGAAGGCGCTTGCTTGCACCTCACTTGTTGAAGCGCTTGCATGCCCTCACTTGTTGAAGGCGCTTGGCTTGCCCGTGACGCCTCACTTGTTGAAAGCGCTTGGCTTGCCTGTGGCGCGTCACTTGTTGAAAGCGCTTAGCTTGCCTGTGGCGCGTCACTTGTTGAAAGCGCTTGGCTTGCCTGTGGCGCGTCACTTGTTGAAAGCGCTTGGCTTGCCTGTAATGCCTCACTTGTTGAAGGCACTTGGCTGCCTGTGACGCCTCACTGGTTGAACAACACGTAACTTGTCTTTAATTGCTAGGACAATCTTCTTCCTCTTAACACTTCCAGAACGATTGATGCTGCTACCAGACATATTCTTGGCCAAAAATGTTCAAAATTACTATGAAAATTAAGAAAGTTATTTAAAAAAATATTTCACTAATGGCGCAACACTGTGAGGCCGCACTGGTTGAGGTGTATAACAGTGACTTGTCTTTAATTGTTAGGACAACTTTCTTCCTCTTAACACCTCCAGAACGATTGATGCTGCTACCAGACATATTCTTGGCCAAAAATGTTCAAAGTTACTATGAAAATAAAAAAGTTATTTAAAAAAATATTTCACTAATGGCGCAGCACTGTGTATAACACGAGGGACGGACGCACATGGGTTGACCAGTGTTGGACGGGTCCACTTGGGGTGGGGCAGCTATAGCACGTTACGTAGGCCGCCAGGAGGAAAAAAATTCACAATATTTTTTAAGGAAACTTCAGCCTGTGCACAATGCTTTTAGGAAACTTATTTATTTGTTATTACATAATTACTAGTACTTATTTCATTTGTTTTTGGCTATGATTAATTGTTCTAAAATTAATGGTAATTCCTGTACCCAGGTGGTCCCTCCTGACGCACCCCTCCCACCACCACCCACCCACCCACCCCACCCCCCTTCTCCACCATGCGTCTAGAGCCACAGACGGGATTAATACGGTATGGCCGTATTTTCATCCGGCCAAACTAGCTTTTATCCGGTTCCTGTGGCCATTTTGGCCGGATATTGTGATAACTTTATCCGATCACGATTTTGGCCGTATAAGGGCGTTTTCCGGATGTTTGAATCCCAGATAATCGCGGGGTTACAGTACTGAGCAGTTAAAGAAGATCTCTGTAGACAACCTTAGCTAAACAGCATGCCATGGAAGTTATCTCTGAAATTTTAAAAGGTGCACCAAGCGAACATGTGACCATGATAACTTGGGATATTTTATAGCTTTTGTTTGGAATTCATAAATTCTAAACCTATTTCTATGAGCTTTGTTCAGTTATGTGACCCCTTATTAACCATTCTGGGAGAGTTTCCTCAATGTATCGAGTCTTATGACCCTCTCAACTTCCCCACCTCTTTGAGGGAGGGGCAGGAATCAGGTACCTGCTTCCGGTGGGTCAGAAGATGATCACAGATGCCTGGTGTGTCAGGCTTGGCCACTTGATACTGGTGTATAAGCTCTGGAAAACAACCGAGGGCCACCGCATAAATGCACAATAATACTGTAGCGAGTAAACCTTATACTCGCTTCATTATCTCATCATCTTAATGACGTAACCAATTGCAGAAGCTATAATCTCTTCCCTAATTACAGGTAACAGTTCTTCCATCCTCCTATCCTAGTGGAGGAAGCTGAGGAGTAGTCACCGAATATAAGTATGCGATACAAGAATAGCCGACAATACAATTTCCACAGTCAAGAATGTAGCACTCGGCGTATGCAGTTCTAATCGACCCCAAGACGCTACAGCTTCGACGCAGGACAGACAACAGACTATGACTATCAGGCTACAACGCTCTCCCACATAGAGCTTCGTGACTCCGGCCTCACTCAGCTCTCTGCTCTGCTCCAAGCTCCGTCTCATCATCTACGACACTGCTATATCCAAGACTACTAAATAAATATCAAAACACACTAAACACTGTGTACCTAATCTACTCAACAATGTAACATAATCGTACGTTACATTGGTGAACCCCAGAGAGTTTCGACGATACCCAGCTACGATGGACTACAACATGGACTCTCACTGGACCTCTACTGCTGCTGCTGCTGCATGCTGTGGACCGCTCCTCTGCCGACACAAGCACCTTGCGCAGTACTGTACAGGACCTACAGCTTGCGTTTCCGACTCTTTGTCGCCTCCAGGACAATTCAGCTCTAGCAGTGATTCCCTCGTTGTTCTAAGTTCAGGGCAAGGCCACGGATTCCATGTGGAGTCTGCTTCATGAAGAAATAAATTTGGATACAAAAAAATACATGCCTACATTACCTCCTATTGTCCTGGTGCCCGAGCCCATCAGCCCCGGATCTAAATGCTCCACCAGCGACCTAAGGACGCAACAATCATGCACATTCTTCTCTCCTGCTACACCGAGCTTGTCCACACACTACCTGCATCTTTTGGTACTGGACTACATGTTCCACAGCGACCCAGGAAACAGTAGCCTCGTATTTTTTGTTGTATTGCTTTTCTTTCATTCCCTGGCAGGGAAGAGTCCTGTAGCGAGTAATCCTTATACTCGTTCCATTATTTCATCATCTTCATGGCGTAACTAATTAGCACTAACTACACAAGCTATAATCTCTTCCCAAATTACAAGTAACAGTTCTCCCATCCTCCTATCCTAGTGGAGGAAGTCGAGATGTAGTCACCGAATATAAGCAAGTGATGAGAGAATAGCCGACAGTACAATTTCCTGTCAAGAATGTAGCGCACTATGTAGGCAGTTCTAATCGACCCCAAGACGCTACAGCTTCGACACAGGACAACAAACTAGGATCGCATGAAGCTATAACACTCTCCCACATAGAGCTCCGTGACTCCAGCCTCACTCAGCTCTCTACTCTGCTCCAAGCTCCGTCTCATCGTCCACGACACTGCTGTATCCAAGACTACTAAATATCAAAACCCACTAAACACTGTGTACCTAATCTACTCAACAACGTAACATAACCGTACGTTACAAAACCATACAGTATTTAGAAATAAATCCATATACAGTGTACTTATGTGGGCTAATATATATTTTAATTCTTAACATAAATATTGGATAAATCTAAATGAATAAATATGTTGATTAAACAAACTTTTACTGCACTTTTAATTTTTAATGTTTAAAACTTTTAAACAAAGTTTTTACCTTTCATTATCGGTTCTCTTCTGTGTCTCAACTAAGCGATTTGTCACATTACCACCAAAACCTGTTAATCCTTCAAACTTCTCCAGGCAAATTTTTCCTGCATATTTCTTGAACAATTTCTCTGATGGCTGAAACTTTTCAATCTGAAACATAAACAATAAGGGCTTCGGTTAAATACATGATTGGTTAGAAATACACTTCCCTTTTCTAGGTTTGTTAATAAACCTAGAAAAGGGGTGAACTGCAAAAGGACCATTGCAAAAACCCATGCATGGAGTCACCTTTCCTCGGTGCATAATGACAAAACTAAAGAGAGGAGACACCAACCAAAGGAAACGAAAGGGACCAAGAAACTGATTCCGCCAAAGACCTACCCTGACCAGCAGTAGGTGATGCCCCATATTAGTTTGCTACATTAGTTTAAGGTCATTAGTCACAGGAGTTCTTATGCCTACCAGGAACCATGAGCCAGAACCTGGTCCCCTCAGAGAGGTGCAGGGAGCAATGGCCTATGACCACTTTACATTCAAAGTACAGAATGTCATAATTGCCATCAACCGGGGACTGCAAAAGGCGTGCAAAAAGGACCCAGAAAGGTAGGCGAGTCAAAACAAGACCACTATCTGGTTAACCTGTGCAATATACATCCCAAAAGATCAAAATAACTCCCCTAGAAAAGAAACCAAATAAGTAACCCTACGTGCGACTAGCACGTCTGCTCTTTAGCGCTACCCCCCCCTCCCCCCACAAGGGGAGGAGCCGGCAGCCCACCCCTCCCACCACAACACCAGCCCCCTGGAGAACTAACAAGTTTAACACGAGATGACAACTAGAAGCCGCCGCTTGCAAAAACTGCACCACCGCAGACTCTGCAAACAGCTTAGGACAAAACCCAGCGCTGAATGTAATGAAATGCCATTTTCTGGGTGAGTCCCGGAGGCTCCTCGGAGCTATCCAGGCTGAATGGACATGTATAACTTTCTGGCATCAGTCAAAGTGCTAGGAGTTCTTGCCTACCAGGGACCACGAGCCAGAACCTGGCCCCCTCAGAGAGGCATGAGGAGCAATGGCCTATAGAAACCCCCTTGTGGTTGGGAGCATTCTATGTCTGCCATCGACCGGGACAGGCACCCAGAAAGGTAGGCGCCCCAAAATAAACCCCTATTCTGATGAAAATATTGCTACCGAAAGCCAAACGAGTGGACTGAACTCCCCAAACAAAATTATCAAACTACCATGACGTCATAACGTCGACGCGCCACCCCCCCCTCCCCAAGAGGGGGAAGGGGGAGCCCCAGACCCTCCACGCCGGCGATCTAACCGGCAGTTCTTAGGCTGGATGTCAAAATACGCGAAAAACGCCGCCGACCGGAGGGAGGGAGGGAGGGATGTCGGGGAGCCTCCGGGACTCACCCAGAAAATGGCGTTTCATTACATTCAACGCTCGGTTTCTGGGGGGAGCCCCGTCGGCTCCCAGGATCTACCTCACCACATGCAATTTAAACAGGGAAGGAACCGGGAGGCGGATACCACGTGTCCTAACCGAACAACCAAAACCAGACACAAAACAAAGACCAAAACGAGAAGAAAAAAGACCACCCAGGCCAACGACCAGGACGGCACCAAAACTCAAGAGCAGACCAGAAGGGAACAACGCCCAGGACAGCAAGTGGAACGGAGCAGAAGGAACCACAACACTGAACGCAAGCAGGAGCGGCTCTGCCAGCACCACCCAATATGAGGTGACAGGACACGATCCCAGACGACGGTCCCGGAACAACCCCGAAGGGAAGACAAGCCAACCCTATCAAAGACCGAAGAACCCTTCACAGTGATAGGAAAACCGGAAAGATCGCCAGGAAAACCACACACCACCCCCGAGACGAAACACACAGGTGGGAGATCAATAACGAACCCACCAGTGCCAACACAAACGACGAGAAACTGACACCACGATCGAAAGCGCAAAACACAAATCGAAAAACAGCGACCCCGCAACCCAAAGGAGCTACATAACCAGCTCCAGCAGGGAAGAAAGACGCACGCATCCCTGAGGCATCCAAGAGGAGAACCACCCAGGACGTGAACCACAGGAAAGCAAACACACCCAGTCCGGAAAAGGAACAAAGAAAAACCGGAACCCAGCAAACTCGGTTCCAAGAAAAGGAACCAGGAAGGCAGGAGCGGCAGACCGAAAGTCCACACCCCCCACAGACAGTGCAACCCGAAGCCTGCAGGAATCGCACAGAAAATCGCAGGAACTCGGTACCTAAACGGAACACTAGAAAAGAGAAGTCCAAAAGCAGGGAACTGAACATGGACAGAGGCCCACCGGAGCACCAAACAGGATAGTCAAGAAGCACTGACCCAGATACACAAAAAAGTGTAGCATGGGGGGAGGAAAAATGGAAATAGGTAAGGAAAACCACGAATATGGCCCAAGAAGCGGCCGGGAAGTAATGCACACAACCAACCACAAAATGTGTTGAGGAGCGTGCACATACCCGAGGGACCTCATGGACAGCAGGGTGCAGTCAGGCACCGAAGATAGGCAAGGAATGAGTGTCCAGAAAGGGAAAAGACCCAGGGGTCGACAACAAAACCAAAAGCACCGAAAAGCGGGGCAGAGCCCCACAGGACAACAAAGAACAAAAGACAGGGACAAAAAAGGCACTGAAGACACACGCAAGGTGACCAAACACACCACACCAAACACCCCTGTTAGGAGCTATCGACGCAATCCCGCCAAGCAGGGAAGAGGAAACAAGGATGGAGCAGGGAACAAGGGTGGCGGAGTGAGTAGAGTATCCCAATAAGATACTCGCTCCAAACGCATGAGCCTAACGAGAGAAGCAAAGCTCTACGTAGTACCAATGACGGAACTCAAACCGGTCCGTACTTCCAGGTAAAATTGCTGCCAACCTGTGGAGAACGGTGAGGCATCACCCAAGCATATAACCAGCAGAGTAGCGAATAATAACTAGTCTACCTGCAAGTGTGGTCTAGAACAGACACACGCGAGACACCGTACCGACTCTCAGTGCGCCCAATCCGCACCATTGCCCGCCAAAATATCACCCGCATACTACTGTATACGCAACAAAAGATAGTTAGTTTTTAAGTGTTTGCGTTTATTGACACCAATCTTCATGAAACAATAGAAACTGGGATAGTGGCACACGCAACCCTTGCAGCACATTGTGGGCACGAAACAATGGGCATAAAAGGGGTAATCGTAGAATCAGGAAAGACCAGAGGAATGACCGGCATGGTAACAGGCTCGGTGATTCGCGGAACCAATTACCACGTAACATGGTGGTGGGGCCCCATGATTGGTGCAAGGGCGGGTTGGACATGTATATGAGTGGGAATGGGCGGTAAGAAACAGGAGCTGCCTCGCACAGGCCAATAGGCCCTCCGCAGTTCCTCTGTACATAAGTCCGTATGTTCGTACGCACAAGGGGACACAGGAGAAAGCTGAGCACCCAAATGAGCCACAGACACGAAAAAGAACCTGATCAATGTCAGAGGGTAAAGGAAGCGAAAAGCACCAAGAAACCATGTGGTGGAGGCAGACTCCACCCACAGGAGCAAATGTAGAGAAGACAGAGCCCAGGAGGCTCAGGAAACTACACAACCGTCAACTGACAGGAGAGGCGGGGTTCAAGAGCCAGAGCTCAACCCCCACACGCACAACTAGGCAAGCACCCCACCAAAAAGTGAGAACCAGCACTAGGCCGACAGAGGCGCCAGACAAGACAACCTCACCTGCAGAGCAGACACACGACCGTGCCACAACACAGGCGAGCCAAGTAACATACCAGGAGCAGCGCTAATGGTGTGCCCGAAAGCCATGCATACTCGAGGCAGTAGCTAGAGTATGTACTCTATTCATTACCTGAATAAATAGCAGAAGTCGAAGGAGAAATACGGCCAGAGGCGCGTGCCGCGCAGAAGATGGAGCAGTAGAGAGGGGGAGGCGGCGGCGCCACGCCGAACCATCCCACACCCGGAAGCAGAGGAAGAACGAAGTGACATCTCCAGATATAAATCCAAAACATGCTCAGCATCCAGAGGGCCACAACTGGAGGGAGAAAACGAGCAAGGAGCCGTAGAAAACCACGAGAAACGATGCGAACACATGAGCATACCGCCCATAAACAAAACGCACACCGCGGCCCCAGCACACGAGGTACAAAACACACCACCCGTCCACCGGGAGGCGTGGCTCGTACACCAGGCGGACACACATATCGTACACACATCGTACAAACACCAGGAAGGCGTGCAGAACGAAGACGAAGAACGCCGAAACTGGAAGTAGAGACGCGAAAACAAAACAAGGCTAAAACGAAGAGAAAGAAAACAGATGACGGAAGGGAACCAACGAGGCCGACAAAAGACCCGAGGGAAACCACATCGAAAACCAACAGACGTTCCAATAATATTGGAAGGTACGAAGAGACTCACGAACCAACGAGAACCACGACAAGCACCCCTGATCAAGGAACATGCAGGGACAACGATACGAAGTGGTTTAGGCACTGTATGTACCAGGTCAATATAGAAATCCATCAATGTTTGTTTCACACCTCGTATGGATGTACCTTACCTGAATACACAATTGATTTTTTTTTTTCGAACAGTATCGCGAAATAAGAGCGAAAAGGATAAGGAAAAGGGGGTGAAACACACCCCCAGGAACGACAGGACCGACGAACCCGAAGGAACACGGAACTGAACCCAGGGAGGGGTATACCTGAAAACAACAGGAACAGAGGGGGAAGGAACAACCCCACTCTGAGGAAATGCCAGCCCCCTCATCAAAGGTACAAAGACCCAAGAGGGGCAAACGGGGCCGAGGCCCCCCAGGCAACCCCTCCCTAACCTCGACGGTATGACCCAGGGCCAAGCCGCACCCCCAAAGCCCCAGCTTGACAAGGAAAACTTGGGGCAGCCATGCAAACACTAATGAAGGGAGCCCACTGGTCAGACCCATACGGCACGGCTGGAGGAACCGACTCGAATGCCTCCGCCGCCACCCCGGAAGAGGAAAACCCCCGAAACCGCCCGAGTCTCAACCCAACCAGACCCCGCCCCAACCCCGAAACCCACCTATGGTTCGGAGCAGGAAGCAAGGGAGGAAATGTGTAGAACAGAAGGGAAAGGACAAGAAGTGGAAGGAGCTACCCCCACTCCCAAGTCCGGACCCCATCAACCAAAACGGGGCAGCCTTGGGGCATCCGGGGCCGCAACAACCAAGAACGTTGCAGCAACCTACACCCAGCAAGCAACGCCGCAGCCGCCTGCACCCGATTATCAAGACCAGTGGCCTGGGTGAAGGAGAGCGCGTACCGACAACACTCATCGAACGACTCCGGGTCAGGGATGCCAGATTGGGCTACTTTTCAGAGCCCCGCGCTCCCAAATTTTTAATTTCGCTACTTGCGACTTTTTGGGCTACTTTAAAAACAAGTTGGGCTATTTTGGGCTATTAATGTTAAGAAACTCAATGACGATTTTTATGCTTTTTATAATGTCATGTGTACAAATCACAGCCGCGTCCAACAGCTTGATTGACTAGACCACTTACTGCAGGAGGCCAGGTCAGAGACCGACCCCCTGAGGACATTGATCCTAGGAACTTCCCAAAGAAAAAGTAACCGCAAGGCAAGATAATCTTCCCCAGGGGCTATAGATTTTCTAACCTTAATTGCCATTAATACCTCATCCCGGGTACTGTCTATGTTAAGTGACCTCCCATTGTTGCCTACTGTAAATATTAGGTTTCTCTTTAGGTGTTTCCAAGAATGAGTATCGTTAGAGCAGATTAGCATACAGTGAACTTGGCAGCTTCATCTGTGCTTTCATCGTTAGTGTGGCTCTGACCTCCAGAAGGATAGTTCGACACAAGTTACCGCATATAGAAAAGAAGTTACCGCTGTTTCTTTTAGAATTTACTTAAGTGTTAAGATAAAGAAGTGTAAAATGGGGAAGTGGTCTAAATACCAGAAAGCGTTTCAGATGTCCTGGCTTAAGGATCCCGTGTTTGGAAAGTGGTTGGCTGAAGTGAAAGAAGATGGAAATAAGGCATATTGTAAAGTTTGTAGAACTGAGATAAGAGCTTATAGAAGTGATTTATATAACACAGTGAAACATTAAAACACAGACAAAATATATCGGAGGTAAGTCATCACAGATGAGCATCAAGTCTGTTCTATCAAAGAAGGAAGATAAACTTACTAAATTTGAAGGTCATCTGTCTGTATGTACTGTCGCTATCTAGAAACCTAACATTATGTTTGTAACTCATCTTGTATGTATGTACTTTATCTGAATAAACATTTGATTTGATTCGATTTGACTAAACAAAAAATTGGGCTACTCTACTTGCAAATTCGCTACTTTTTGACCGTCAGCTTGCTACTTTTAGCAATTTGGATCTGGCAACCCTGCTCTGGGTCACAAGAAACAAGGACCCAACAGGCAGCATGGCAGAGGCACAACCGGTGAGTGTCACCCTGAGACAAGGAGATAGATCAACCGTCAAACTCACAGGATGCGAGAGGGACTCCGGGGACACACCTATAGGACCACGGAGCCCCTGTGGGGTTTCCCAGGGCCCTTGGCCGTTGGTACACGCTAAGGGAAGCCCAGGCAGGGTACCGCGAACCGGCGCCCAAATCTACCAACAAACTGCTAAAGCTGAACCCCCGGGACGTGTTCACTCATGGGGGCCAAGCAGGGAGTACCGCCAACAGAAGAATTCAAAAGAAAATCACCTAGAACAGGAATGGGGGACCACAAAGGCAGACCCCCACCAGGCACAAACAAAAACAAAAGAAAAATCCCGCAAGAGGACAAAGTACCCAGGCGGAACAGAGCCGGCCGCTGTTAATGGTGAAAACTACCTGTGCTGTACCCCGCGCCCCTACCAGTCACGAAAGCTACCACCTACCCAGAGACAAACCAGGGCAACAAAACCCCAGCCGACTCCAAGGGCGGCCCAGTACCGAGCAGTAAAGGACACAGCGGAGGTAGAACCCAAGGTGACTTGTGGAAGGTGGCCCCAAGCCCCAAGGGCAGTACTTACAGGGCACCTAGGGAAGATAGGCCTAGGCGCATGCAGCCCGAGTACCGTGGAATCTTACTCCTGGTTCACACCCCACCGGTAGAGACAGTCCACACCGTAAGGCACAAAACAAACAAAAACCGGAGCCAGAGGCACTCGACCAGCCAGTAATTCCATCAGCCAAGAACTGCCGGTTGGATCGCCGGCATGGAGGGTCTGGGGCTCCCCCTTCCCCCTCTCGGGGAGGGGGAAGCATCCCAATGACACATAAGGTGACACATCCCCAGCGGCACACAGCGGTGCATCATGTGTCATGCAACCGGACACGACACATGACGCACCCCCGGCCGAACCAACCGAGCATCAAGAACCCAAGGACCCTTCCAGAAAGCAGCTGTCTCGGCCTTCGCCAAGAAAGACAGAGAAAGCTGCAAACGTACAAACCTATCACTAGTACCAAAGGAGCAGAAACCCCTGCGCCGGAGGAGAGCCGGAAGCTCCCTGACCCGACCCCCAGAGGCCAATGCCAACAAAATATGGCCTATGAAAAACAATCTTGAACCAAAGGGGCTACCCACGGCTACCACAAACCGAGGAGAGGAAAGATAAAGGAACACCCTGATCGAGAACTAGGACGGCTCAGGCGACACATGAGCAGACCGGAGGTGAAACAAAACACGAGAAAGCGTACCGAACGGGGCGGATGTGACGTCCACACCAAACGCAAGCTGGAGCAGCTCCGCCAGTGCTGCACAATACAAGGCGACAGTAAGAAGCATCAAGTAATGGTCCTGAAAAATCTAGAAAGGACAAAACCCGATGCGAAAGAGAAGACAACCGACGAAGAGCAAGAAAATGGCGAATAGAAACGCCAGGAAACTTTATACTGTCACAGAGATGAAGCTCGCAGGTGGGAAACCATCAACGAAGCCACTTGATCACCATAGAGATGGTGATACACCCGCATCAAAAGACCAGATGCGAAGAGCCAAGGAGAAGGCCGAACCAGCCATGTACCGGACCGGTCCAACTTGCCGAAAGAGTCACAGCCCATAGGCTGACTGCTACGGGAAGCCCGGGCAAGGTGTTGCTAACCGTTTAACACCCAAGCTAACAAGGGGTAAATGCCAACACTGAAAACCCCTGCAACGTGTACAATCACGGGGGCCTAGCAGAAGGCCACCAAACACTACCGGCGGAACTATAGCCACACTAGGCAGACCTCCACTAGGCAATGAAAAGAAAAAGAAAAGAAAACCCCACAAAAGTACACCGTCCCTAGAGGCAACAGGAACCAGTCGCATAGGTAGCAGGTCGTGCAACACCTTGACACCCTAACCAGCACAATACAAGTCCCTACCCAAGGCCAAACAAGAGCCCCAAGCCCCAGCTGGCCCCAAGGGCGAGGCAAATGCTGAGCAGCAAGAACCTCTACAGGAATGGTTCCCGAACGCCCCAGGGAAGAGAACCCTGTCACGCATGGGCAGTACTCACAGGGTGCTTAGGGAAGGAAGCCCCCAAGCGCATGCAGCCCCGGTACCGATGAACACCTGACCACAGCACAACACAAAAACACAGCAGTGAGCGCCATGAAGGCAAACACCACCTAGGAAACCGAGGCCAGAGAAGCGTCTATCTCAGCTGACATTAGCTTACGAACTGGAGTGCTATGCAACTGGAGCGGTGAGGTCCGTGCCCCCCCTCCCCCTCTCGGGGGAGGGGGCTGCGCAGACGAGCAGCGCAGCAGTAGTGTTACATTTGCTTGTTTGCTTGGGATTGTAGGGCGTTCTACCTCTCTTCAGTTTTTGTTGTTAGTTTCTTACCATGTGGGGTTTGTTTTGTTATGCCTACCTTTCTGGGTGTCTAACCCCAGTTGATGGCAGATAAGAAAAAACCCCAACCACAGGGGGCTTTTCCAGGGCCATTGCTCCCTGAAACCTCTCTGAAGGGGCCAGGTTCTGGCGCTGGTCCCTGGTAGGTCTGAACTTCATAACTAATGTCTCTGTCTAATAACATACATTAGCCCAATAAGCTCCAGGGAGCCGTAGAGGATTCCCACAGAAAACATAAATTTCATGATGAGAGTGTTAAAATCCTTATTACCCAGGCAAATTTTGACAATTGTAAGAACTAAAAAAGGGTAAATAAAAACTAAAATAAAAATGTACTTGGTACACTGACCTTACTTGACTGAGTAATGGAGTGGTTGGGGCTGGTGTGGTTGGTCTGATGATACTGCTTTGTCAGATCTGTACCAGATAATAGCTGTATAATAGACTTTTGAAGTTATTTTGTAGAGTAAAAATGTTAAACCATTTAAATTGTAATATAAAATGATTAAATTAAACTAATATTTCTGCATATTACATCACAATTCACTGGAAGAACATACACCTGTATTTAAAAATATCAGGCTTTCAGTGAACATAAGACCAAGACATTTATAATTACAGTACAGTATTATAATTAGTGAGTATTTACCAAGACTTTATAACCAAGACATTTAGATGTACCAGCGGATGGACAAACAAGCGGGGGCCCACTTAAAGATACACGTTACATCTTTCACCTAGCTAGCATTAGGATGGAGATACAGTACACAATGTGACTCCCTGGACAAAAACGATGAAACCAGGACTCAAAACAGAGCATGCAGCTCACTCACCCGGTTGCTTGTAGCCAAGCCCCTGTCTAAAACATGGCAAAATTATGTAAAATCATCTCAGAAGTAAGTTTCAAACCAGAAACAGTTGAGGGCCTAGGACTAACAGCACTACAAACTAGACATGACAGGGCTGATCTCACCGAGACCCGCATAACAAATTTGAAGATATTACTCCAGATCTATTCTTTCAAAGATCCAATGTAACACACACACAAGGGACAACAATTTTAAACTCAACAAGCCACATTGTAGGACAGAAAACAGGTGATGCTTTTCCACCCATAGAGCAATGCAGTATATCCATGGAATCGCCTACCCCTCCAAAGCCGAAATGCCAAGAAATCCAGAGTTGAATGCAATGAAATGTCTTTTTCTATGGGTAGCCCCGGAGACTCCCTGAAACTATCTGAATTGATATGTTCTATAGATTAATTTGGGGTCATCAGTCACAGGAGTTCCTAAGCCTACCAGAAACCATGAGTCCGACCCTGGCGCCCTTCAGAGAGGCGCAGAGAGTAATGGCATACGAGCACTTTACATTTAAAGTACGTATGTCATATTCCACCATCGACCGGGGCATTTACCCAGAAAGATAGGTGAACCAAAACAAACAACTAGCCAGTAAAATTGTTACCTACAGCCAGAAAGAGCCAAGAAACTCCTGCTGAAAGAAAAGAAAAGAAATTAGTAACCCTGTCCTCAAATAGTACTCCCACTTGTTAGAGTATTCCCCTCCCCAACCCCAAGATAAGGGGAAGGGGGGGGGGAGCCAGACTCCCACCACTACAGTTCTACACCTGATGGAAAAACCAGACTGGAGGGAGGGAGGGATGGAAGGTGTCGGGAAGCCTCCAGGGTTACCCCCAGAAAAGGGCGTTTCATTACATTCAACGCTGGGTATCTGGGAGAAGCCCCCGACTGCTCCCCGAAGCTATGTCACAGAGAAGGAAAAACAGGGACTTACCCGGGAGGCTGCAGGACTAAAGACGAAGAAGACCAATGGCGACAACAGATGCCCCAGAGCCACAAAGACCAGAAAGGGCCTAGACCGCCACAAGATATCAGGCAGCCAGAACCCTGTTTGACCTCGAAAACCCTCGCACCTGAACGGCAACCCAAGACATGCTGCCAAAAACTGCAGCGAGTGCCATGGACATACACACGTCATGGGCAAGACTGTAGACCGCAGGCTGGCTGGATGTTACGACACTGCAGACAACCTGAGATACACGAGCCCTGGAACAGGGAACCAGGAAAACCGGATCAACCCAAAGAGCGTCCACTTTCACCAAACCAGTGGCCTGCCGGTAGTGGCGTAAAGCCGCCACCAGACAATATGTGCACAACACGTGATGCACCCCCAGTCTAACCAACCAAGCATCCACCACTACTGGACCGCTTCATAAGTCTGCCATCTTATTCTTCCCAGAAAAGAAGCTCCAAATCCCAAAGAAGGTCCAAAGTCCTTCCTGGTTCAAAGACCTGGGCTGAGTCTGAATCCTAATAAAATTCCAAGCAGGAAAGGACCTGGAGCAACAGCCGGACTGGGGAAAATATGTATAAAGAGGTACAGGAAGATTATCTCTACCTGAAGAGTGAGGTACAATCTTCAGCAGACAGTACCTCGCCTGCTGAAAAGAGGCGGAGCCACGGAAAAATGCCCTAGTTCGGACACAGCAAACAGCGCCTCAAACCAAGGCTGGGGCGGCCACCATGGAGCCAGAACAACAACCCAGAGCATCAGCTGGACCGGGGGAAAGAGGTACAGGAGCAACCTCAACCAGTCCTGCCGAAAAGCATCCACCACAAGAGCCTCGCAGTCACAGAATGACATCACATTCAATTGGAGACACCGAGACCATGCCGACGCGAAAAGGTCCACCTTCAGGCGCCCTTACATCCAGCAAAGCAAAAAGATAGGAAGTGGCGTCAACCGTACACTCTGTGCAAAGAGGAATGAAGCGCAACAGGCCATCTGCCATGACATTGGACATTCCCTGAACGTGAACAGCACGGAGAACTAAACCCTGACAACTCGGCAGAAGAGCTGCCCAAAGCGACCAGCCCAAAAAAGTCAGGAACAGAAGAGAACCTCCCCCACCCCCACCACCGGTTGAGACAATGAACCACAGTGGAGCAGTCTGAATGGAGCTGGATCACCGAGCCCCAAGGAACCCGAATACTCTACTGCACCAGCCACAAACTCCGCACTATGCGGAGTTTGTCCATGCGCCCGACGCATGGACAGCCGCCAACGCCCCTGGCCAGACTGGTCACAAAGCCCCAGCTGACAGACGAGGCATCAATGAACACATCAAGCGAGGGAGGAAGGCACCATGGCACAGAACCCCGAAAACCCTGAGGAGGAAACCAGTGATGCAGCAAGTGGCTCAGGGACACCGGGGGTCGAACCCAGCGATTGCGAGAGCGGCGAAAGGGGCTGCTCCGAAGATACCAGAACAGCCGCCTAAACCAAACCCTGTCCAGCGGATAAACATGCATAGCAAAGTGTTGACTAAACAACACCCTAGAAAGTGAAGAGACGACGACGTTTCGGTCAGTCCTGGACCATTATCAAGTCGATTGTGATGGGAGGAAGGAGGCAATGGCAATAAATAGGCAAGAGAAAGGTGAGAAGGAAATCTTAAGAGGAAAAAACAGCAAGGCAACAGGAACGGAAGGTAAGGTGTAATAAATGGGGGTAATAATAGGAGTAAGAAAGGGATCGTAAAGAAAACGGGATCGAGAAAACAAGGGAAAGAAAAAGAAGAAAGACAAAAGGAAGGGGTAGGCTTATGTTAGATCACGTTTGTTAGAAAGTTTAGAACACTTGAGTATATACTGTGAAAGCGAAGAGTCAACAGCAACAAAGCCAGGACTCGGGTTCATGTTGGGTATGTTGTGTATCAGAGCAGATGATTCGACAAGACAGCGCCTGTGTAGAGTAGGGGCAGGAAAGATTATTATTCAACATTTTTCAGCCACGTTATTGTGACTGCTCATAAGCATAGCAAAGTTCAAGCTCCCACACAGCTGCTCGAACAACCAGTCTGCTGGATTGTTTCAGAAGCCTCGGCGGGAAAGATGGGCTCAACAACCTCCGCGCCAGCATCAGAAAGGGCAGCCCCCGAAGCCACTCGAGCCTCATCCCAAGCTAAACCCGGCCCCGACTCTGAAACCCTCAGATGTTTGGAAGCCGGAAGCATGGTAAACCATACCAACCTGGGAAGGAAGAGGGGATGCAGACTAAACTAAAGTCAAAGTGACCAGTGCCTCCATCTTGCACCACTTGTTTCTCTTTATTTATAAGAGTATGTGATAATGTTTTAATTGATGGTTGGTTTATCTGGTATACTCCACTGCAAGTATATAGAGTAGTGAAAAGGATATCAACATAATATTCAATGGTGTTGGGCTCTAGGTGATGACACATGGCCTAATTGGCACCATATGGGTGAGAGTATAGATTGAAACAAAGGCGTAAGCCACCAACGTGCACCCACAGATGATAATCATCACATGACGATAACTGCATTCACCTAGTAACTAATGAGTAACAGGATTTAGTAGTAATTATGGAGTGCAGGATATTTTTTTCAAGGATCAAGGTAAACACCATTACATCACAGACTAACTATATCCTTATTTGTATAATCCAGGTAAAACCCAGGCAATAATTATACAGGGGTACCTCAGTTTAAGAGTTTAATCACCGTGCTGCGCCAAGTTTATTGTGAAATTCCCCCTGTGCGCATGAAATAAAATGTTCCCAAAAAATTCTCTTTTTTCGTAAAACGATAAATTCCCTTCCCTGAACATGTCTATGTAAAAATAAATACCAAATTCCACTTATTTTGGCTGTGTGGACGTGGACAAGGTGCGCTGTGACGTCATCAGGGCCTGGTCGCCCGTGCGTGAATCGCCCAGACGCGGTCGTGCGGGCCATTCAAGCACCGGGTGTTGCCACAAATATATTTTCAATCATTTATTTTATGTACTTCGAATGCAGTCTTATTTGTTTTTCTTATCGTATATGATGCATATTTGTGCCCTTTATTACAATATGTATACAGTAGAACGTTTATAATGTTCCATGGAACTGTGATACATGTGTCAGTAATGTGTCCACAATGTTTATAGTCGCAATATTACCTGTTAAAAATTCACTAAAATTACAATATGTACAGTTTCACACACTATTTACACAGTAACACTGTATTACACACTCAGTACTTCGGAAGCGAGTAATAATCAACGAAGTAGCCCATGGTACACAGCGCGACTTTGCTTTCAGTGCACCAGGTACAGATAAATTTTCGCTTCCTGTTTCTTCATTCTGCGTGCTTGCAAATAATGCACTCACGTTCACCCTTGGCTTTAGTACTTGTAGGTTGTATGTAGCCAAGCTTGTACAGCATAAGGTAGTATTGAAAAGATTATAGGAAAAGATCAATTTGTAAGGTAGTCTTGAAAAGATCGCTTTGTATAGTCCCACACAGGAAGAGATTCAGCTTGCCTCAAAGAGTGTCCGTCAGTCAGGAAGAGATTCAGGTATTTTTTAAAATATCTATGGAAAACACCACC